TTAGAACACAGCAAGTATGGTAGGAATGAAAAGGTATTAGTATTCTGTGAGTTCTTAAGGAAACAGAAGCTCTAGTTAGATGATTAGCAGCTTTATTACCCCTCCTCCAAGGAACTGAATTGAGCCACTTTTTAAAATATGTGGGTTTTTTTTCATTTTGCATTCCTGAATGTTCCATGGATTGGAAAGAATGGAACTTCACAGACTTTAAACATTCACAGGCTGATGGATCAATATGGTTCCACCTTTGACCATTTAGGGACAGCCGGCACATTTGTGTTTGGGTTCTGTCCCACTAAAAACTAAGCAAGTCATTTTCCCCTTCTGCTTTCTCCTTCCTTAATTCTAAGACCAAACCTAGGTACTATGAAATAGTGTAGATCTGATATTTATTTTCTGGATGTAATTAGATACTGAACTATTGAACTGAACAGTTTCTAAGGTAAATGGTTTGTATAATCTAAAGAACATTTTAATCAACAGTAGTACATTCCAAGTTATAAGAGCATCAATAATAAATAACAAAAGACATAAAATAGTTGCAAATCTATTGGATAAGATAGTTATAAAATAGTCTAAAAAATAAAATATGACCCAAACTATGCAAAGTAATTTATATAAATGGCATTTTTTTTACAAGTTCAAGTGATGAGGCGATAGCTGATAGATTAATTAGATGTTTCATATAGAACGGGAATTTTAATTTGTTTCCCTAAGTTTGTAGCAAACAGATTAATTCCTATTTGACATCTTTATATTCAGGAATGGAGAATGTATGATAATGCACCATATCACATACATTCTGGCTCAGCTTTTGAAGAGTATGATTAATGCTTTTAAATCATTCTTTTTTAGAAGTTTTAGTGTTGTCAAAAAATAGTTTTCTGTCTAAAATCACTCAACAAGAGCGAGTGAGCAAAGTAAGAGTGTTTTGGGGTGACATCTATGACACATGCCAGTCTGGTGGTGATGCCAGCAAGGGTCCCCATAATCTGTAGGCAACTAAAGAAATGTAGAACTGTAATCATCTACTATTTGAGCATATTTGAACATATTTTATTTTGAACATAAATGACCTTCCCTACCCCTCCGCATCAACATATGAAAAACTTGGGCAAAAGATTTTTTTAATGCCAGCAAGTTGAGTTTTCTAAAAAACATCAGCTAAATGCCTAGCCATTAGAATAGTTAATTAAAATGTAATACCCAGAGTTTTCAATTTTCATCCAGTTAGGGAAACAGTGAATAATGAAAACAAATCTCAAAGGAAAAAAGAACACTAAGAAAGTCCCATTCAAAATGGAGCCAAGTCATCTGGCATTGGGTTGGGTTCGTTTTGGGTGGGCAACTCTCCCAAATGCTGTCTTCCCATCTGCTTTTGCACTCTGTAACTCCACTGGGGGCTGGAAACTGGGGGAAAGTGGGGATTCTGCCCATTTAAACTCTGTAAGAACCTGTAGCACCAGTATAGGAAAAGAAAGCCCTTAGTATTCACGCTGAGAAAACTATGAGCTGAGCTATGAGCTACGACTGCTGATCTACTAAACCAGCCTAAGTCTTATTTCCCAATGCTTTTAATTTAAAAGAAAAATTACAAAATGAGTTGCAAGGAGCAACAACCAGATGTAGCCAGTTAAATCTGAGACCGGTACAAAGTCCTCCTGTCCTCTTCTGTATGTGTCCTGCCCCAACAGGCGACTCATTCCGATGCACACTGGGCCCGACACAGAGGAGGCCATCAGTGGCTAAAAGTGACAAAGTGCTTTAGGAAATGAGCACTTGGTCTCTCAAATGGTGGGCCTGATGGTATTTTCTCATCTCGGGACCCAGTGTCATCCCAAATCCACCCCAGTGCTGGTGTGGGGCAGACACAAGGGCATCCCTGGCTTGAAAAGGACTTTGAGAGACCGATTGTTTATGGAGATGAATGGTTACAGTCATGGGGCTCTTGAAACCGGAATGCAGCTCATGAAGCAGAGCATTATTATTCCAAAACCCACATTCTGCAGAGGAAGTGGAACTTCTCCAACTGGTTGGTAAGCTTCTCAGTTGTTTACCTCTGAGCTTCGTTTCCAAGGGTGGCGTATTTCCTAGGCCTCATGGACCACAGGGAAAGAAACTAGGTTCCAAGTTATAAAGAAGTATTTGATTTCAGGCACCACCTGCTTTTCCAGGATGCCCGTGTTCACCAGAGCTCAGAGAGGTGCTTGAGTTGCTCTTGCCGGGGATCTGAGCTTTCTGGCCCTGAGCGGAAGCAGGTCTTCCCTGAAGGCCTCAGGAAACAAAGTCCTGCTAGTTTTAGACCTATTGCTCCATTCGATGAACCAAAGACCAATCCCACCCAGACCAGACGGGAAGGGGCCAGGGTTGATTCTCAAACCCTGTTTGGGTCCCTGAGCTCAACAACTCCCAGTCAGAGCAAGTTCCCCAATCTCTTAAAGGTGTAGGATCCTAATCCCAATGTCCAGGACCCAGAGAAAGGGTTCCTTCTCCTTCAGACCCTCTTTGTGTCAAAGTCCTGGTTGTCCCATGAATGTTCAGGTCCCAGAACCAGGCAGGCAGGTGAGTTCTGGCTGCTGCCCTCACCATAAACAGGTATTGAGGTACCCTTTCTGTGACAACACTTGCAGTTAAAGACAAGCATCTTATTCAAACAGGAAATTTACATTTTTCACGTTCTTTAGCAAGAGCTACAAAATCAGCAGTGTAGATTAGGAATTTGCAGAATGTGAATTTTCTTCATACTTTTCCCTGAGTTGGAAAATGTTACTTTTTCACCCCCAGGTGTGACAATAGCCCACTTTCTGGAGCCTGTCCTGGAAGGTAGATCACTCCTCACCTGGTAGCAGCTCTTAAAGGATGACAGCCTGGTATGGTGCTTGGAAGATTGGGATCAGCTTTTGGCATTAGAGCAGACCCCTTTCTAATCGCCAGGCTACCCCATCATTTAAAGCATGGAGCTTGAGAAGGACTAAATCAAGGGGAAAAGAGGAGAACCAGGAAAACCTGTGATCCAAAAAGCCAAGAAAAAGTGACAGGGTCTGCTGCCAAGTGGACAGGGTCGTGAAGGAAGGACTGTTTTCAGGAGCTTGGCTGTGAGGGTGAGGGACAGCAGCAGGCAGGCTGGGGAGAGAGCTGTTATTTTATGAAGGGAGAGATCTGACCATGTTTGCAGGCTACAGGGAAGGGTTCAGAAGTGGGAAGAAGAAGGAGAAAGGAGAGAGCCGAGGCCAAGGAGAAAATGGATCCAGGGCCCCAGTGGAGGCTCTGGGCAGGGGAGAATCCAGTTTTTCCTTTGGGGAGAGGGCTGGACAATGAGTGTGATGTAGAGAAAACTGAAGCTCTGAGTGTGGCAGTTGAGGGAGTTCATGAAATAAAAGCTGTTACGGACTGAACATTTGTGTCTCCCCCGAGTTCCCACGTTGAAGCCCTATCCTGAATGTGATGATATTTCGAGGCAGTGCCTTTAGGAGGTGATTAGGTTTAGATGAGGGAGGTCATGAGGATGGAGCCCCCGTGATGGGATTAGTGTCCTTATAAGAGGAAGAGACCAGAACCTTCTCTCACTCTGCCATGTGAAGACACAACAGGAAGGCAGCCATCTGCAAACCAGGAAAAGGCCCCTCACTAGAAATCTGCAAATACCTTGATCTTGGACCTCCCAAAGTCCAGAACTAAGAAATGAATGTGTGCTGTTTAAGCCATCCAGTCTGTGGTATTCTGTTACAGCGAGTGGCCTGATCTAAGACAGAAGCCTTGCTCATCTGCTGAGAGAAGGCTGGGAATGTTGAAGAGGGGACAGCATGCTGTGGTGAAGGTCTAAGGCAGCAGCTGGGAAAAACAGGGGAGGACAGGATGCTGATCAAGGGCCTGTGAAACGGGGGCTGTGCTGAGAACCCAGCTGAAGCCAGAGAACAAACGTTGTGGACCCCAAACCCCAGGAGTGCGAACTTCCTGGTCCACCTTCAGGAGCTCTCGAATATGAAAAAAAGAAGGAAAATGGTTGGATTCTTCTCAGAAAAGGGTTTTCAGACTGACACAGCCAAAGGAAGGGGGCAAGGAGGCTGAGGTCACTGATGAGCGACGGACAGAAGAGTTGTGTCCTGAGATCCAGCCATGATGTCAGAGATGAGCTCGGAGAAGAGTGGAGATAACAGCAGAGGGGGTGATGGAGCTGGAGGAAAATGGGATGGGTGTGATTATATGTGTGTGTGTGTGTGTGTGTGTGTGTGTATGTATGTGTGTATATATATATAGATATATGTATGTATGTATGTACGTATGTATGTAATATAGGTTGGCTTGCCTTGGCTGGATTCCAGAGGTGGAGAATAAGGTGCACCACTGATCTCATGACTAAATGACCTTCCTCATCAGGATAGAGGAGTTTTGCTGGCCCTGGTTTGGTAGGAGCTGGTGAGAGGATACAGTTAATTCCCTTTAGTCACTTTCAGTCATAGGGTCCTAAAAGCTAGAGCAGCCTGAGGATACAAGAAAACGGAAACAGCTTTGGGCCCATCTCTGAGAAACACCTTCCACTTTAGTTCTTTTTTCCTTTAGATCAAGTGCTTCAGCTGGCAGGAAGCCTCATTTCCTTCCTCTCTGCTTGAACTCCCTGATTTGGGGCCTTTGTTTTCTGCAGCCATTGCCAAACTCATCTCTAATTGCACAATATGGGTAGCACAATGACAGTGACTGAGACCACTGAATCACCTAAGCTCAGTGGTGATAACAGATCAGATATTTATATAAAGAATTAGCAGTACTAATCCCTGATTTGTCACAACTTCCTTTAGGCTGTTATTAATATTAAACAGAATAAGTAATCCATATATCCTCCTGGTCTCCACTTATTTAGGACTTTTTTTTTTTTTTGGTTACATAATGAAATGGCTTCCATATGAAGACTTCTGGGGCTGGTTTTTGCCGTTTATCCCTCTGTTCATGCTTGTTAGGCATCATATTATCAGAAGAACTAAGAACTGGAGATAGAAGAAAATCTCTGAGTTCAATGATCCAAAAGGGACTACAATTTGACTGAAACATACAGATCTATAAAACCACAGGTTTGTTAAAAGAGTTAGCAAAGGAAAGCACAACTGAGATTGTGTGTGTGTGTGTGTGTGTGTGTGTGTGTGTGTGTGTGTGTGTGTGTGAGACGTGTCACATCAAGGCAGAAGGAGAGAGGGTAAGAGTAAGTAAGTATTCAGGGCCTTCTGCTTCTTCCTCCTGCATGGACAGGAGGAGATGTGACTTGAAATACCTATGGCCAGACACATAGCAGGCACATTTGAATTCTGGCAGTAACTCATGCTATGTGTTACCCATCGCCCTGGTATGTCCTCAAGGCTGAGATCTATTAGCATTCGGCCTCTCCCACTTTTTCCTATGTCCTCTCCTAACCTAACTAGTAAAAAAATAAGTTCTCCTGAATAAATGGCATAATCTCTTCAGGTGTAAAAATGTTACAGCATACCTACCATTTCAGACAGCAGTAGGAATCCAGTGATTGACTTAAAAACAAGTCAACATTCAACATACATGTAAAAGTTCCCAAAGATGTAGGTCACATTCCACACAAGGCTTTAATGGCTATCCACAAGTTTCTGGTTCTGCTCCATCCCAGTTTAGCAGAAGGATCTTTCCTGAGCTATTGGGCATTAATTGAGCACCTATTGATGAATAGGAAGGATACATGAATTTAGACAAGCCAACCTTAGTAAGTTTACAGCCCTTAGTTATAGACTGGTTAGGGAGGGAACATTAACACCTAGGGCAGTAGGTACCTGCTATATACAGACTGAATGTTTGTGACCCTCCCAGAATTTGTATGTTGAAACCCAGTCCCCATAAGGTGGTGTTTGGAGTAGGGCCTTTGGGAGGTGATTCAGTCATGATGGTAGAGCCTTCATGAACAGGACTAGTGCCCTTATAACAGAGACCCAGGAGAGTGCCCTCACTCCTTCTGCCCTGTGAGGGCACAAGGAGATGTCCATTAAGGAAACAGGCTCTCATCAGACACTGAATCTACCAGCACCCTGATCTTGGACTTCCCAGTCTCCAGAACCATGAGAAATAGACTTCTGCCATTTATAAGCCACCCAGTCTGTGGTGTTCTGTTACAGGAGCCCAGATAGACTAAGACTGCACCTCTGTGACTCCATCCACAATTATCAAGGAGCATGAAAGACGTGCTGGAAGGAAATCCGTGAGGTCCAGAATAAGAAGAAAAATTTTTCTCAGGAGATGAGCTATGAACTGATTCGAAAAGCAAAGCAATGAATTGTTTTTGTTTTTAAAATAGCTTTGGAATTTTTAACTAAAAAATGAATAATTGTTTATTTTAGAAAATACAGGTTAGAAAAAAAAAAGTTTAAAATTCACCAACTACCCTCCCACTAAATGGGTAAATTTACCCCTGGGGCATCACCCTGCACCCGGGGCTCCATTTTTTTCCACCCCTCACATTCTCTTTCTACCACTCTGTCTGTTCTACTTTACATCTATAACTCATTTCAAGAAACGTTCCAACTGCTAAAGCAAGTTTAAAAACTATTGCTAACCACCTGGGCTGGGCGAGTTTTCCTGAATCCTGCTTGCCTTGCATCCTATGGTCAGCCTCCAAAGGCCACTTAGGGCCTTCTGCTTCTGGCCACAGTCCTTCTGCACCCTGGCTTCCCATCACCCCCTATGAGAGGCTGTTTCTAGAATATGATGTGCAGGTTCCCACCTCCTTTCTTTTGCTCACATCTTTCTACCACATTATGGGCCCAGATCTTCTTTTCAAATATCTGTATTCAAACTCTATAACCTGAGTTTATTTGGCATACTGGCCTATGAATCATAGCAATAGCAGCTCCCTAAGTTGCCCCACCTAAGTGATGTAAGACTTCCAGGGGCCCCTCAAAGTCACACCCAGAAATTTCACCCCAGGCAGTGTTCAATGTGTACTCACAACATACCACAAACACGTGACCCCTGCCATGCTCTTTCTTTCCTGCTTCAGCCACCCTTATGCCCCACATTTATGCTTCCAGCTGAGGCCATCTCTTCTGTCCATGCCTTCCATGAATTCCATAATGTCTTTCCCCCTGATGACTCCAAGGCTCAACCCTCAAGGGGCCAGCACTGGGGCCCGTGGAGTCCTCAAGGCACAATGCTGGGCCAGCCTCCATCCCCTGCACTACAGAGGATACTTCTCAGAGCCCTGTGACTGTGATCCTTCCCGAAAGCAGCTCTGTGGGCATCGGCCCTCCTTCTGCAGGCTCAGCCAGTGTCCTTCCCATTCTCCTGTCCCCAATCCCCCAAGACACACACTTGATAATTTACTCATGCAAGGGGGTCCAAGAGCTGTTTGCCTAGCTGGCTCATCAGATGTGCTTGCAAATATTCTAATCATGCTGGTGGAAAGAGTTTAGGTTCAGACAAGGAATCTCATTACATTCCCTTTAAGACCCTCAGTCTGAGCACCAACCTTCCTAAAATCTCCACTGTCTCAGGCTAAATAAACTCCCAGACCTCTGTAGCAGCCATGGTCGTACAATTAATTTGGTAATTAATCATGTATTTCCTTGTGACAATTCTGTTCTTTCCTCAAATTGGTGTTAAAATTTTTATTGTACTACAAAAAATATATTTAAAGGAATACCTTTCTGATTCTGAAGATACCGAGCAAAGAATGGAAAATCAGTCCTTCCCTGTCAATCCTTAGGAACACAGGCATAGCTCGAATAACTAAAAATTATCAGCATTTCATGCTTATGCCTTGCCACACCATTGAGGTCAGCACCATGGTTTTGTATTTATAACTCTGCCTACTAGTGAGTAGGCAATCAAATACTGCTTGGTTCTTTCATTTCAGGGAGGTTTAAGGTCATTATTTGCACCTTAAGATAAGTAGGGGAAAAAAGATGAGACAAAGTAAAACAGGATATAAGAAATTATGCAAAACAAAATTTCCAGAAAGAATAACCATGGAAGAAAGTTTACTTTAGTATGTTGGTGATGGAATGAAAGATTCCTAAAGTAACTTCCCATCTTAGAGGCATTGCTTTAAAGGTACATATTGAGTATCTCATTTTCCCATTCCACAAACATATTAAGGACCTACCGTGTATCAAACAGTCTTCTAACAAGACAGACAATATCACTGCCTTCCAGAAACTTCCGTTTAGTGTAGAGAGGCACAGACTGAACTAGTTCATTTCAGACTATGTTAAATACCATGAAGGAAATAAACAGAGTAGGAAGGATGTAGTTCCTTTAGGTAAAGTAGGTAAAGTGGTCCAGGAAGCCTTCCAGAGCAGGTGATATTTAGGCTGAAACAGACAGATTACAAGGCACCAACTACACAAGAGAGCCAGGAAAAGAATGTTCCCAGGGCTACTACAGTCCCCCAGGTTGTGTGCTACAAACAAACTACACTTACAGGGCGAATAAGGGCACCCCTAGAGTTGTGTGGTGCAGTTGTTTGGAGTGTTCATGTGTAAGTCAATTCACTTGTGTAATCAACTTGGCTCAAGTAGATTTGTGCACCTATTGACATGCACTTAGTCCATCTGGATATAATGGCAATCAAATCAACCATATGGTGATTCCGACAAGTTAAGAAAATGACCCTCGGCAAATTGCAGGCTATAGTTGATGGATCAGCTTATGACTAGATGTTCTCCACTTCTGGAGATATGGGAGATGAGCGTGGAAACTGGTATACTTTAAGTGGAAAAAGCCTGAAATTATTTTTGGAACCAATTCACTGTCTACTCTTAAAGTCATAATGCCAGGAAAAGGAAATATGAGTAATAGCTGCCCAAGCCTAAAGCTAGTTTTCATGGCGAGAAATGTTCCCTCTTCAGGAATGATCAAATGTGAGGTTTTGAAAATAGTTTTTATAATTACAGACTGTACTATTAAAGGCATGACAACTCAATTAACTATTTGACTTCATAGCATGGTGACATCCCATAATGACAGGCTAAATGGATTCCATACTTAATAAAACACAAAAGGGACCATTAGACTTCTAGTAAAGTCAACATCATAACTCTTTGCTGGCTAAGTATCCCTTGGTAAACTGACCTTGAAAGCAAATGTAAAGGTAACCTTTAAGATTCCAAACTGGTTTAATGGGTTTAATGGTTTTCACAGAAGGTTGTTCACAGGTAGCTTTCCCATGGATTTAGAGTCAAGGCAATGGAGGCTTAAATAGGGTCACATGCTGACCTCAGGTCACTCCGGAAGTGAGACATCCAGAAACTCATCCCGTTTCCTGAATCTCTCAGCTGATTTACTTCCTCTCTGAACTATGCTCATCAGTGCCTCAGTCTGTCCAAGTCAGTTCTGAAGAGGAAGTTCCAGTCACTCCTCTCATACTCTAGCATGTCAAACCGAACAGGAGTTCACGGTTGGGGGAGCTGGTGGGAATGGAGGGTGGGATGAGGCAGAAGCAGTGCTTCTGGGGAGGTGTTGAGTAGAGAAAGTCATGCCTAAAAAGGGGAAAGGAAAACTGAGGTCAGGTTTGGCAGGTGGGATTATCCAAGGGCTTCCAACTGTGGGAAGCAGGGTAGAGGTGCCCATCCACCAGTGCCAGGTGGAACAAGCGTTATTCTGGAATATCTGTTTCAAAGTAGATGAAAGATGGGTCAGTGTTCATAACCTAAACAATGAAAGCTGAGTACTTTCTGTTCAACTCACACAGTAAAGAGTACAATGGCCCCTAAGCATAGTGCTGGAGTGCTGTCTAGCATTCTTTATGCCAGAAGGCTGCAATGTGACTTACAAGAACACATGCACGTTAGGTAAGTTCACTCAAGCATGAGCTAGAGTGCTGTTGGCTGCAAGTTCAATGCTAATGAATCAACAATATGTGTTAAATAAGGTTCTTTAAACAGAAACACAGATAAATCAAGGTATCTTACCAGCTGATGAAATGTGCCCAGAGGCTCACAGGAACCTAATGTGGCTGTACACATCACAGTTGATGAGGCTCTTCTCTCCTTTCTGCATTCTGATTCCTGACAATATTCTGTAGGAGGGAAGGAGTCCATGTATAAATCATCTAGTGAATGTTGACAGTCCCTTTTTAAAAGCAAAGTTTTTCTCATACTAGTTCATACTTAGGAACACAAGATATGTGCAGACCCTGTAATTTGGTGTTTCTCCATCTCCCTGATACAGTAAGAAGCAGGCTAGACTAGGTAATAACTGGAATACATTTCAGCATTTTTAATGTAATTTGGATGATGAGCCCTAAATTACTTTTCCAATGTAAACCAATCAACTGTATTCCAGTTTGAGTGTCTTTACCAAAAATAAACTTCTTTATGTATGTATGGAAAGATAATTAGACTGTTTCCAAGGCATTGGGCCTATTCACAAAGGGGGGAGAGCAGCCAGTATGTGTCAGAGTAAAACAAAGGCACCAATTCACCAGCCCCACTGCCCTCCCTCCCCTGCTTAGTGGTCAGTTTGTCTTCTTAGAGCCTGTAGTTATGATTCCATCTTGCCTGGCTCACGGCTGCAGGCTCCACTCCTAATTCTAAATTTGTCATCTTCCATGTTGCACTGTCTGCCACACGAAGGACTGCCCCAGAGGAGTAATGACACCACCCAAGCTCACACCCTCTGTGGAGTCAGCAGTACCAGCTCTGGGGAATGTCATGCACTTTCCCCACTTGCCTGCCAATACTTGAATGAGGCTCAGAAGGCTTACAAATAATTCTTTTGACTAGTTCTTTTAGCTAAGACTAAGCACCATGCATCAGCTATCAGTGATCCTGAAATAAAATGTTGTCTGGACAAAAAAAGAAAAAGCTTCTTTCATACATAGCTTTGAGGAAATCAGAACACCATTCACTTCTTTGACCATCCACAGTGTAATTCAAGTGTCAAAAAGTGCTCAGTGCAAACAGAGGATGAGAAGAAGGTAATATAGTTGGAAATCTCTTTGTATTCAAGAGCATTTCCCCTTTAATATTTAGCAACTTCCATGCTTAATAGTATTCTGTTCAATGGTAGAATGGCAGCTGCTTTGTCCTCTGTCTATTTAATTGACATACTAAATAAGAATGATATACTAAATAAAAGGAGTGACAAAATGTGTACCCACCCTCCACCAAATAAAAAACTATAGAAATATATGTAGCAAACAAACTGTTTGAGTCAAATAATTCTGATGCAGAAAAAAATGTCTGTCTAAATAATACTAACTCTTATGAAGTCTGGCTTCCAAAGTCCACCTCTCTTGTGGCTTTTGTCCTACATCTACACACCCTACTGGTCACCTCATCACATCCCCCCTATCAGGTGCCAGGTGCTCCCTTACCTGCTCTCTCCCAGATGGTTGCCCCCTTTGGAAGAATTCAACTACGTCAGGGATCAGAAACTACAGCCCACATGCCAAATGCAGTGCACCTCCTATTTTGTAAAGGAAATTTTATAGAGACCCAGGCAAGCTCATTTGTTATGTACCTACCATGTTATGTACCTAAGGCTGTCTTCACCCAGTGACAGGGCTGAGTAGTTGCAAAAGAGACTTCATATGGCCACAAAGCCTAGATTATTTACTCTCTGATCCCCTATAGAAAGAAGTTCAAAGAGTAATATGTTATTCTTCCAGGGATTAGTTGGATTTTAATAGGAGGTAATTTCTTCATCCAAAGGAATGAATGGCTAATAGCAGGATTTCAGTCATTAGCAATGAAATATTCAGAAGATATTTTGGGGTGGGGGAATTTCCTAGGCTCAATTACTACCTCCTCTACCTACCCATCAACCCAGTGTACCTACTGAGGGTTTTAATAAAGTTGAGAGGGGCATGTGGTACGGAAAAAGACTTGGAGGAGAGGTTGGTCTGAGAGGAGTTTGGGAATGCTGCTGATGGCATTCTCTGGAGTGGGAAACGCACAACCCAGGAGATTGTAATCGGTCTCAGACAGACTCACATGCTTATTCTTACCATGTATAAAATAATAGAAACATTTTGAGGTCCATTAAAGGATACCTGATTCCAAACTTTGGTTGTCCCCTATTCCCATGAGCAGCGTTACTTATCTGTAAGGAAATCTCCCACATGAAACCAGCAGAGGGCTTTTCGTGTAGCCTTGCTTCGGAGCAGGGGGGCTGGAGGCTGCAGGGGAGGGCTCAACTCACACCTGCATTATTAGGTAGACTTTGCAAGACTTTAAAGTGGCCAGGGCACAAGATGGAAAGAACATCTGGTTTCCCCTCCAGGGGTGAACCTGAGGCTAAGTGCGCATGTGGAGTAATGACCATTTCTAATATTTGCATTTGTTCAGAATATTACAGGCCCTGAAATGTTCTCCAGAACATTCTCTCAACATTCTCTCAATCCTCAGGATAACCCCTTGATGTCAAAATCGTCATCCTCATTTTACAGGTAAGAACTTGAAGGATCCGGGGTTAAATAACTCATCCTAGATCAAGGTTGAAAATGGCATCAGAGAGAAAATTCAGACCTTCAGAGACCCCTCAGGGTAGAAGGCTTGTTGTCTGAGCCCATGTGGAGAGAGTCTGGGCCTTCTTCAATACTCATTAGACCAGCATAGGCACTCACTGAACTCTTCAAACCAAGATTTTGTCTTTCCTCTGTCACTAGACTGGTAAGTGACAACCTAAAGAGGCATACAGGCTCCATTCAGATGAGCTGCTCATGTCGAGTACCAGGATGCCCTGCACATGGTTCCTGGACCCTCCTGGGATGGTGGTTATGTACCACCAGCACTCCACAGGGGATTTGTGAAAACTAGAAAAATGAAGATCAATTACACAAAAGCGTTCCTTCCCCCACTGAGCCAGTCCTGAGCCAGGGCTCAGCTCAGCAAGCTGAGCAGGCTAGAACCAGCCCCTGCTCGAGCCCTTCACCCACATAAGGCATCAGTGTCCAGGCACAACCAGTACAACCGTCCTGTGCTCACCCAGGTCAGAGACCTCCTTTCACCTAGAGGGCACATTTCTCAAAAGAAAGAAAGCCTTATTAAAAAGAACTGAATCCATATGGGACAATACCAAGAAGGTAACAGTCACAGTCTAAACTCATATGGTTTGGGTAGTGATGACAGCTTTTCTGGGCTGGAGAACAGGAGGTGGTCACGGTCCATATCATCTCCCTCATCTGGTTCTCCCTCTTAGCTAAGCCCCTCTCAGTATCCCACTCAAGCCCATTTCCCCCATTAATTTGGTGCTGCCTGATTTAATAGGAACATCCTTGAACTGGAGGGATCATAGAGCTAGCAGAAGGGTAGAATTATTCTTTGTGAGTGGGTAGATGGCTATCCCTGTCAGCATGTATCTGCCACTTCCTGACAGGAAATTGGGTTGGGGTAGGACATCTCCAGGCCTACACATTTCCAAGAGGCCAAACACCATCTCAGCCTGCTGGGTCTCTTCCTGGTCCTCCTCTGGGAGCCCACATCATCCCCTAGGCCCCTGAGCAAAGTCTGACTGACTCATTCATCATGTTAGTCACTTTCCCTGCTCAGAGGTCAAAGGCAGCAAGAGCACCCAATCTTTTTTTGTGTTGTGTTTTCACAGGATTTGAAGGAAAAATAGGCCCAAGAGCAAAATGATAGGTCCAACTAACCCTGGGAGAGACCAGTTAGGTCAACTTTAGGATGCAGCTACCAAGAAAGCAGGAGGAGAGTTAGCTGTGAGCATCGCACCCCCAGTCACTCCTTTTTTGTGTGCCACAGCCAAGTAGCATTGAGAACAAGACTGTAAGGTGGGCCCAGAAGCAGATCCTCAGACTAAAGGTTAAATTTACAGGTGTACCTCAGAGATATTACAGGTTCCATTCCAGACCATCACAATAAAGTGAATATTTCAAGAAAGCAAGACAAATGAATTTTTGGGTTTCCTAGTGCATAGGAAAGTTGTGTTTCCATTATACTGTAGTCTATTAAATATGCAACAGCATTATATCTAAAAAAACACAAGGTGCATACCTTAATTAAAAAATACTTCATTGCCAAAATATGCTAACCATCCTCTGAGCTTTTAGTGAGTCTTAATCTTCTTGGTAGTGGAGGGTCTTGCATTGAGGTTGACAGTAGCTGACTGATCTGAGTGGTGGTCACTGAAGGTTGGGGTAGCTGTGGCAATTTCTTAAATTTAGACAGCAGTGAAGTTTGCCACACTGACTATTATACAGATGATTTCTGTGTAGCATGTGATGCTATTTGAAAGAATTTTACCCACAGTAGAACTTCTTTCAAAATTACAGTCAGTCTTCTCAAAGCCTGCTGCTGCTTTTATCAGCTAAGTTTATGTAATATTCTAAATACATCGTTATTGTTTCAACAATCTTCACAGCATCTGCAAGGAGTATACTCCATCTCAAGAAACCACTTCCTGTGTACATCCCTAAAAAGCAACTCCTTATCCATTTAAGTTTTATAGTGAGATTACAACAGTTCAGTCACACCTTCAGGCTCCTCTTCTAATTCTAATTCTCTGGCTGTTTCTACCACATCAGCAGTTACTTCCTCCACTGAAGTCTCGAACCCCTCAAAGTCATCCATGAGGGTTGGAATCAACTTCTCCCAATTCCTGTTAATGTTGATATCTTGATCTCTTTTCATGAATCATAAATGTTCTTAATAGCCTAGAATGATGAATCCATTCCAGAAGGTTTGCAGTTTACTTTGCCTAAGTCCATCAGAGGAATCACTATCTGTGGCAGCTATAGCCTTATGAAATGTATTTCTTATATAATAAGACCTGAAAGCAAAATTACTCCTTGATCGATGGGATGCAGAATGGATACTGTGTGAGCAAGCATGAAACATTAATCTCACTGTACATGTCCATCAGAGCCATTGGGTGACAAGGGGGTATTGCCAATAAATGGTAATATTTTGAAATGAATCTTTTTTTTTTCTGAGCTGTAGGTCTCAATACTAGGCTTAAAATATTCAGTAAACCATGTTGTAAACAGATGTTCTGTCATCCAGGCTTTGTTCCTCCATTTATAGAGTACAGGCAGAGTAGATTTAGCATAATTCTTAA